AGGTGTGAAGAGAAATGAATTAGCAAGTTAAAACAAACAAACAAAAACAAAAAGAAACCCAAAAAGCACATCACTAGATGACAAGACAGTGACACCATGGATGGGACAGTTTATATAGCATTTGTGCATTATAAAGTGTTAGTTTCTGAGACAGGTACCCACTGTGCATGTTAGGTTAGGAATAGTACAAAGTTTTCATTGTTTTGTTGAGACAAGGTCTCACTGCAAAGTACAAGTCGATCCCAAGAATTTGCCATGTTACCTAGGCTAGGCATATATATGTGATTTACCTGCCATACGTTAACCTTTAAAGGGGTCACTTTTGACTACTGTGTGGAAGGAAGTAGATCCTGCAGTCATGCAAAAGAAATAAGGTGTTAGAAAGACATTCTCAGTCCAGTGGTAAGGTGATGGAGGTCACCAATAGAAATCCTATGCTGAATGTGTTTGCATGTTACTATTGGTAGAATTTGCTAATGGAACTAAATTAAGGAAGAATCAAGGATGGCAAGAATGGATTTACCATTCTATGGAAGATTAGGATTCTTTTGGGGAGTGTGTGTGTGAGAAAGGTGGGGGTCTGGTTTTGGATATATTAACTTGTGATAAGATGTAGACAACCGGGTAAGGCTGCAGAGTAAATCTGAGTCTAGTGTCTAAGGATTAGTGTGGGCTGGAGACTTAAATGTAAGTCGTCATGCTACTTCTGTGTACATTGTTAATAGAGAAGTACCAGTAGTGTAATTTGAATCTGGGGCACTCCAGGTTTCAAGGGTAAGGAAATAGGTAAGAGCAGCAAGAGAGAAGACAATCTGAGAAGGCAGGGGCTCTGGGAGGAGATCAGCCATGTCAATTGCTGCTAACAGTGGCATCATGAAAGAAAGAAAAAAAAGAACCATAAAGGTTAGATTTAAGCCTGGTGGTGGTGGTGCTCACCTTTAATCCCAGCACTAAGGAGGCAGAGACAGGAGGATCTCTGTGAGTTAGATACCAGCCTGATCTACAAAGTGAGTTCCAGGATAGTCAGAACTGTTATACAGAGAAACTCTGGAGAGAGAGACAGAGACAGAGACACACATACACAGACCAACACACAGAGTCAGACAGACACAGAGACATATACAGAGACAGACAGAATGGAGACTACTGACAAGGGTGAGGAAATGGTTGGTCTACATAGGTCGAAGAAAGAAATAGAAAGCAAACATCAAAGAGTCATATAATAGAGGAATTCAGATAAAAAAGAAAGAGCAAAACAATAAGATAGTCATTATAGAGCCCCATTTCTCAACCTGTGAGTCTTGCCCCTTTTTGTAGCCATAGGAGTGGTCTAACACCACTGGAAAACAGATACTTACATTAGTTCTCATAACAGGGACAAAAGTAGTTATGAAGTAGCAATGAAAATAATTTTATGGTTGGGGTTCACCACAATATGAGGAACTGTACTAAAGGGTCATAGCACTAGGAAGGTTGAGAACAACTGCTTTAAAAGGAAATCCATTATCAATCCCCAATCCCTTCTAAAGATGGTAGTTTGTGGTTATTATTTTGTTTATGGTCTAACAAATAAAGCTTGCCTGAAGATCAGAGTGCAAAGCTAGAAGCCAGGTGGTGCACACCTTTAATCCCAGCACTCACAATTCAGAGCAGACAGAGCTCTGTTAATTCAAGGCCACCCTGAACTACATGAAATTGATCCAGTTTAAAAGAGAAACAAAGCTCACACAAAGGTGATCTCAGCACTTGGGATCCCATGCCTTTAATCCAAGCACTAGAGATGAATGTAAGTCAGGAGGATACAGGAGCTCAGTGAAGTTTGGAGATGTAGTCTGAAGACAGGGTCACCCTTTCAGTTTGAGCATTGGTAGAGAGTTTGTGCTACAGTAGTTAGGAGAGCATATTTTAAATTGACTTAAGTGATCCTACTGAGGAGGTAAAATAAACCAGACAAGTACGTGTGAGTGGCAAGTTTAATTTTGCATAGGACAGTTACAGTCAGACAGTTGTGTTGTACTTAAATGTGGAAAAGTTGGTAGTTCAGGAGTGGGACGTAATTTTTTTTTTTGTGATTTCTGTTGTTGGGGTAGGAAGCAAGATAATTGCTTTTGAGGAGGTATTGGTCCGTTTAGAAGAAATATGTTACATAGCTGGTTAAGGAGGCAGGATAAATAGATTAATAGCCCTAGGGATTTGCCCATGTGTACCTCAGCAGTCAGGAGAATAATTTCATCCTCCTTAGCATGGCTGGCTGGTTTTTTTTTTTTTTCTTTTCCAGCCAAGTTCAGCTGTTCTGTCAGAGGTATAAACTGTAGTGAATGAGCCAGAATTGTATCATAGGTAGCTAAGGAAGAAAGACTGCGAGTATTTTAGGGTTTGTCTAAGGATTTATTTAAGCTAGGCAACAAATTATTCTTTATAGGTGCTAGGAACTGAGATCAGGCACTCTGGAAGAATAGCTAGTGCTCCTACACACTGATCCTTAACTATTTCCAGTCATAGGCATAGATTTTAAAAAATAAATATAATACTTGATTTGCTTCCTAGTAAACACATTCAGCCTTTATTATTTGTAATTATTAGTAATCATGAACACAGACCATTCCTTGAATAACAAGGTTAAGTCACTGTAAGCCATTTCTATTTCATTATCTAACTGGCCAATGCATGAGATGATTTTATGTGTCTGTTTGAAGATATGTTATTGAAAGTAATTATAAACATTATTTACAGGACACTCATGGCCAAAAGCACTAGTGGTAATCCTGAAACTAATCTAGCCCAGGTGTTTTTTTCTTTAAGATTTACCAGATCTTTATTGTGTTTAGGAGTAGCAGACAGAATCTGAGCTAGAATTGTGAAAATCATGGCATTATACATATAGTATCAAAGACAGTTATTTATAAGACATCAACTCATATTGAAGGAGGGTAGCATTGTTTAATCCCAGCAGAGAACAGTTGTCAGATCTATGTATGTTGGGTGGATAGGGATGTGGGGGTGACAAATAAAATTTATTGAGTAACTACATTTGCAAATATAGAATAATGAGTATTGGTGGCACATCTGGAACATTTCCACCCTAGTTCAGACCTGTGTTATTTCATTAAAGGATGACAAGGGTTAAGGATATTAGCTGGGTGGTAGTGGTGAAGGAATTTAATTCCAGAGGTAGGCACGTTCTCAGCAGGGAATCCCAGCAAAGGAAGCAGAGGTAGGCCAATCTCTGGTCTACATAGCGGATTTGAGGATGGCTAAGGCTACAAAGAGAAACCATTGATGCCAGTCTAAAGGATTTCTATGCAAGACATGTAATGCCTTTGTCCTCTTCCAGCTTGGTGTTTGAGACTGGACCAAAGTGCCCTTACACAAGGGATTACCCACACCCAAAGCCTTTTTGATTACTTCTTGTGTTTACTCTTTGCTTCAAAAAATGTTAGCAATGACCCCTTCCCTCAAGCCTTCCCCATCCCTTTCCTTCCCCCTTGTCAATTCAGGCACTGACAACCTTTTTTTTTTTTTCTTAATTACTGATAGCTTCCATGGGCATTAAGCAGGCTTTTACTCATAATAACAACGGTAACATTTGACACCTGGACGTGACAAGCACACAATATCAATACTTAAATTTTTTTTCCAGTTATGATTTCAAGGTCTGTTTTCTTATTACCCTAACTAGACTTAAAACTGCTGTAACTTGTTGTATACCAAATTAACTTCTCTCTCTCTCTCTCTCTCTCTCTTTTTTTGATGTGCATCTAGCTCTCTTCTGTTTACTGAAAATTTTCTGTTATATCCACGTTCAGGGCAATAATAATAAACCAGTCGATCATCACCAAGAAAAGGCTGTCGCTGATCTTTTTCCACCCCGTGTATCCCAAATAACTTACAGCAACCTCACTTAGCACACCACACACTTGCTTACTCTCTTTTCGGGACAGGTTTCTCTAGGCAGCTTTGGAGTGTGTCCTGTAACTCGCTCTGTAGACCAGGCTGGCCTCGAACTCAGAGACCCGCCTGCCTCTGCTGGGATTTAATGACGTGCGCCACCACCGTCCGCCACCACACCTGTTTGTTTGTTTTTAGCAGCCGCATTCTGCAAAGAATTTCCTGCCAGGGAGAGGAAGAACTAGGAGGGGATGGAGAAGTGGCGGTGGGCAGGCTCCGTTCCGCCTTGCGGCCGGGCACTCACTGTCTCCAGCGCCGCGGCCTTCCTGCGCCGCAGCCGTGCGGCCCGCGCCGGATTAGTGACTGCACTCGGCCGCGGTTCCGGGTCCCAGCGGCCGGCCGAGGGCGACTTCCGCCGCGGCCCGCCGAGGCTCCGCGGCAACCGTCCCGGCCGCCCAATTAGGGGCTTTCCGACCCCCACGCGGAGCCCGAGGGGCGGGGGCCGCGGCCGACTCGCGGAGGGCACCCCGCCCCCGCCGCCGTTGCGCCTCTGGGCGCACGCGCAGCTGCCGCCGCTCCGCATTTAGTCCGCGATGGCGTCCCTCGCGCCCCACGGTTCTCCTCCCGAAGGCGGCTCCCGCCCCGCGCAGCCCGGAGGCCCCGGGGCCCGCCTCTCGCAGGCCCCCGAGCACGACTACCCCTAAAGTGGAGCGGGAGTGGCCAGACTCGAGAGTGAGGAAAGCAGCAACCGGAAAGGGCTTGACGGGTCGCGGGGCTAGGAGCCCAGGCCTCAGAGGAAGAGGAGGGCGGGAGCAAGCCGAGGTTTGCCGAAGGCGGCGTTCTCCAGCCGCGCGGGGTGGGTAGGAGGGGGGTGTGGCGGAAACTGCCGAGCTTTTCCGAAGGCGGCCGCGGCCGAGTTGCCCGGATGTAGTTGGTGGAGCGGCGGCAGCGGCGGCGGCGGCGGCGGCGGCGGTAGCAGCGGCAGCGGCAGGAGGCGGCGAGAAGGACTCGGCGGCGGGGGGAGGAGGGCAGGTGGCGGCGGAGCAGGAGGAGGGAAAGGTGCTGGAGGCGCTCGCTCTCCGCGGGGACCCGAACACGGCCTCTCGCTCCCTCCCCCCCGGGCTCGCGCTGCCGCGGTGTAGTTGGTGCCGCTGCCCCGGCCGTGCCTAAGCGGTGGTGACGGAGGGAGATGGCCCGGGAGCGCCGGCGCCAGTAACGGGGAGGTGCCGCGAGCCGCCGAGGGCGCGCCGACTCCTGGTGCCGGGGCTGCTCGCTGCCTGCCCGCCGCCCGCGCGCGCGCCCGCCCGCCTCGCGGCCGCTCTCCCCCTCCCCGACACACACACACAGCCGGGCATTGATGGTAATGTATGCGAGGAAACAGCAGAGACTCAGTGATGGGTAAATCGTCTTTTCGTTTCGGGCCGGGCCGCGGCGGAGGGCGGGCGGGCGGGCGGGCAGGCAGGCAGGCGTCCTTATCGGGAGCTGGCCGCGCCGCCATTTTTGTTGTTAACCCTGATCGGGATCGGGCGGAGGAGGCGGCGGGCCGGGACGATCGGGCGGACGGGCGGGCAGCCTGGGGGGCCTGGCGGGCACGGCGAGCGGGCTGCCCCTGCGGGCGGGATACTGGCCTGGGCCTCGGAGCCCGGGGATTGTCCGCGGCGTGAATCCGCTCCGGTACGTTTGGTCGGCGGCCCGCGGGGAGGGGCGCCTGGGGGAACCCGCTTTCTTCCTTTCCCGCGATGTCTCATGCCACGGTTCTTCTTACTGTTTTTCAGCTGTCACGACCGGAGGGGGGACTCTCAGCCTTTCCAGGTACCAGCCGATCTCGGGGTAGAGGGATTGGAGGGGGCCGGAGGGGGAAGGGAGGGATTGCTACTCGAGCGTAGGCTTCAGAAGTCGATACAGGCCCTTCGGTGCAACAAATCCGAAAGTAGCACGACTGGCCCGCTTAAAAATTGGTTTTGGGTTCTATTACCACTCTCCGAACACATCTAGGGACTTAAATTGAGAGGTGACTAGAGGAAGTTCAGGGCTTTTCTTTCTTTCTTTTTAAAGAGGAAAAAATGATTCGCAACCAGGAAGACCTGGTTGGGTTTGAGTGAGAAGGAATCGCTGGGGTGTAGTGATAGGTGACTTGAGAGGCGCATTTACTTACTTGTGTTTGGAGAGCCGAAAGATAAATATGAAGTTTTAAAGTAGATAAAAGGAAGAAGTACCTAAGTGAATTACAGTTGTAAGCTGTATACACACACACACACCCTTGCCACTTTTAACCTTTTAGTTCAGATTATTCCTTTTCAAGGGAACGGTTTTGTTTTTGCTTTAGTTAATTTAAATCTTCTGCTACTTGGGTACTTAATGCCAATAGAAATGTCTGAGTGTCTATTGTTATGAAGTTCTTGTGTGTAAAGTTTTAAAGATTTGCTGGAGTGTCCTCAGGACAGTAACTTTCTGACAACAGAAATAGATGCTTAATACCACTAATCACTTTTAAAAGATAAAAGAATAAGGGACAGATATGCCTCTCAGGGTTCTGTGGGCCAGGTTGGCTTCCAGTTTTACTCCTGCCTTAAATCTTCTGAGTGCTGGATTACACGTGGGAGCCACCAGTCTGGCAAGACAGCAAGCAAGTTTCTAACCTGATACTGTGTTACTGTATAGGAGCTTCTGAGATGACAGAATATTTGCATGTGTCAAAGATTATTGACCCCTCCCCCAGGTAACTACTAGTGGAGGACTTGATACATTGTGTTCATCTTAAAGCACCTGCAGAGGAAAACCATTATTTTAAGAGCATTTAGAATTATGCCTTCCTAGAAGCATTGCTCATGCATCAGTTTTGGCAAATATTCTTAAAGCTTAAGAGTATTTTATCCCTGAAAGAACTTGTAAGTTAGGGTTAGTGCTTTATTTGAATCAAAGAAATAGAAAAACTTTTGTCTTTTTTTTAAACTATGGTCTTAAAGACATACTTACTCATACATGTGCCTGGATGCATTATTTGTAGAGTATAAATGAATTGTAGTTTAAGCTTTCAAAAAGAGGTTTTAGTTTCAAAGTTTGCCTAGATAGTTTTTTAAAGTTTATACTATATGGCTTTTTTCTCCTTCTATTTGTGTTTTGTGGTTAGATTTGTCACCAGGAGTTGCATAGTAACTCTTGAGCATTTAGATTTTCTCTGAATAAAGGAAGTATTGAGAATGGAAATAAATGAGTTTTGATGTAAGTGAAGTTAACATATTAAAATTTGTGATTTTAAATAGATAATTGAGTTTAAAGTTTCAACCTTTTCTCTTTCTTTTGGGGTTTGATGTTTTACAGGCACTTAAGTATTCGTCAAAGAGTCACCCCAGTAGTGGTGATCACAGACATGAAAAGATGCGAGACGCCGCAGATCCTTCACCACCAAATAAAATGTTGCGGAGATCTGATAGTCCTGAAAACAAATACAGTGACAGCACAGGTCACAATAAGGCCAAAAATGTGCATACTCAAAGAGTTAGAGAAAGGGAAGGTGGTAAGTAGTTTTCTGGCTCAAACTGTTAAGTATGTGTATGTTCTTTGAGAGTTAGTTCATTTAGTGTGTCTATCTTAAGGAAGTTACTGTGTGCTGATGTTATCAATTTTAGTATTCCTCCCCCCTCCCCTTTTATCAGTCACTGGGAAAATGATGTTGGCATGAGCATAGACTCCAATGTTTGATGATAAAGAATGCATTTACAAAGATAATCTTTTAAATGTTTACTAATGACAGCAGAGTCCCCGAACAGTTTTCCAAGAAAGGAACTTTGAGTTCTTAAGATTTTGGTTTAGTTTGAGGTCATTGGTGCTTCAGATTCTTTCCTAAGGTGTTCAAGTTTTAATTGTAATTATGAATTAAAGAGTTTTATCAAAATAGCTACTACCATCTAAAAGGCTTTTTTGTGATTTAGGAAATTATTTTTTGTTAAAAGAAACCATTTAAAATTCTACATCCTGTCTTTTTCCCCTTAGGGACCTAGTAATGTTTAATTGGAATACTCAACTTTAAAGATAGTTCTTTTTTTTTAAATTCTTACTTTGCCTTTTGAGATAGGGCCTCAAATGAGCTATTCAGCTAAGGATGACTAAGTTAGTATTACATCTTTTTTATAGTGCTGATACTTTCTTGTTACCTGTTCAAACTGTAGTGGGGACTGGGAATAGGTACATTTGCAGACTGGTTTTGCTCACAGTTTTTGAATGTAACCATTTGCTCTAAAGTCTGCGTTGTAGGATAAAATAATTTCACTAAGGTAATTAAAAGCTGTGTGTGTGTGTGTGTGTGTGTGTGTGTGTGTGTGTGTGTGTGTGTATATATATATATATATATATATATATATATATATATATACATTTTACACAGTAAGCCCTAATATTACTTAAGTGTTTAAAACAGTAGTAATTGAAAACTGGAGGAGGCCCACAGAAGAATACCATGAGCTTTTGTTTTTGTTTATGATTAGTTCTTAATGCCTTTAATTACTTTCAGAAAGTATTTTTCATGTTCTGTTTTTTTTTATTGTTGTTGTTGCTGTTGTTTTTTTTGTTTTGTTTTATTTTTGCGTCTTAGGATAGAATCAGCTTTATTCATTGTGATCACATCTTGAGAAATACTGGCCTCTACATAATTACTGGGTTGAGAAATTATTAATGGTCAGAAGATTGCTTTGGAATGGAGTGATTGGGTGGGATGAGGATAGTTGTGTGGAATATAGTTATCACTTTGTGCTGCTCATGCTGATAATCTACATGTTTGGGAGAATAGCAGGTTATTCATGTGTTAGGCAATCTTGGCTACAAAAAGGTTATTGTCAGTTTTAAGAGTAAATTTTCTGTAGTATTCCATATATTCTAGTTAGGGTAATGCTATTGATCTATCATTCTTCAGTGTTCATTTTACATGGTAACTATTGGAGGGCAAGATTAATTGTACTTTTAGTATGCTTTATTTTGAGCCATTTTGGTAGTTGATACAAAAGGATAATATGGTACTTGTTCTGATAGACTTTCAAATTGTTTTTGTGACCAGTTAGGTACCCATTTCAAAATTCAGTAAGAAGTCAGTTTTATACACTCAGGACAACATCTATAAATGATTTCATCTAATTATACTGAGGCAGTAAGTTCCTTTAGAGTTAGAATAATCCTCACCAAAATCTGTTGCTTATTCAACAAATGTTGGACATACAACAGTGCCAAGAGTTCTATGTCTTAGAAGTCATGCTGTGATGTGATCCTTTGCCTGGAAATACCCCTTAGAGTTTTGAATTTTACTTGACACTTAGGCCTACTGATGGTTTAGTTGCTTGCCTTTTCTGTATTTGTTTACTTTGATTTTTGTTCACCTTCATAAATGAACTCATAAGTACTTGTTGGCTTTTGTTTCCTTTTCATATATACCCTTGTTGATTAGTTCATTTGTAAGTAGTAGTCATTTGCTAAATTATACTTCTCTTTTATCACTTTTCTGTCTTTTGGAATACTAGAGATACCATAACTCCTTTTTTAAGCCTTTATACCATTATACCAGGAATGAGACACACCATAAAATAGTCTTTTTTTTTTTTTTTTTTTAAGATTTTGGTTTTTTGGGAGGGTCAAAGGGTCTCACTGTAGAACTGGCTAGTTTGGAACTTGATGTGTAGACCAGGATGGCCCCAAACCCACAGATACTCACCTGCCTCTCATAAATTCAGTCTTTATTCTAGAGTTCAGAGTATACCTTTGAAGTCCAATTTTTTTTTTTTTTTTTTTTTTTTTTTTTTTGAGACAGGGTCTTACTGTTTGATTACCATACTGCCTCTGCTTCCTGAGTTCTGGGATTTAATCGAGTGAACCACAGTTCTGGAACTGTTTTTATTTTCATTGTGTTAAAAGTAGAGAAAAGCAAGTTTTGAGGATTCATAGGGTATTAAATAATTTAAGCAAGAAGTTTAATGGTATAAAGAATTTAGGGTGTGATGTCTTTGTAGGTATTCCATGAAACTGTTCACAGAACTTAGTGTGAAAATCCTAGTGGAGGACTTGGTAGATGCTTTGTGGGGTTCTCAATGAGTATGTATTGGTTCCTGAAGTTGGAAATTGTTTTTAATATAAAGGAAACTTCATGTTTTAGAGAGTCAGTACTGCTTCTGAGGATTTGAAGTTTCTACGTACATGTTTATCAATTCTGGAAATGTTCTGATAGTATATTTATTCACTGTGTTTGTTGAGCATGCCTCATCAGAAAATCTGAAATCTTGTCAAAAGTGTTCATTGGAAATTTAAATTTTCTAGATTTAATTTAATGATGTGTAGGTCTTTTTATAAAATACAGTATTCATTGTGCCCCCATGTTTATTGAGGTACATTTTAGACAGGGTTTTGCAATAATAGAAAGTTCAAAATTGTACTTGACCCTCATGTTGCCGTTTTAAAGTAGCACAAAATATCTATTTTCACAATTCTATAAAGAAGGAAATAGAATAGTAGTGATAGGTGAGGCTGGAAATTCTCTCTAAGCTGGTAAGTTCTAAACTCAGAAGTGAAACAAACTAAAATCTTATTTCGTAGTTTTTAATATGGCATAGATTACTTAAAAACTTGGATATGATCCTCTTTGGCTTTTAGTCCAAGTTATTACATGCTAATGTTTCTTTTTTAAAAGATGCTTCATCTTTAAATCATACCAAAAATTTTACCTAGGACGAAGGATAAAACTTACTTTAGTTTTTACAAAGTGAGTTGTTATTTTGGAACAGAATTTAATATAGTATTTGCATTTTAATAATTAGATTGGCTAATGGGTAATTTTGGTCTAATGAAAAATAGTTTTCTTTGTTTAAAAAAATCATGTTTTGCTAGGCATTGATGGTGTACGCCTTTAGTCCCAGCACTTGGGAGGCAGAGGCAGGTGATCTCTGTGAGTTGAGGCCAGACTGGTCTACAGAGCTAGATCCAGGACAGGCTCCAAAGCAGTATAGAGAAACCCTATCTCGAAAAACCAAAAAAAAAAAAAAAAAAAAAAACACGTTTTATTGTAATATAGATAGAATTATTAGGCAAGTAAAAAAATAGGAAGTATTTCATGATCATCAGAGTAAGGATGAAAGATGAGTGGTCTAATCTTGGTGGCTTTATTTTTTGTTGACACAGGGTTTCACTGTGGTAACCTCACCCAGTCTTTATCCTCCTGCCTCAGCACTCTTGATAGTTTTTAAAATTACATATTTATGTGTATGGGGTGTATGTGGAGGTCGGAAGTTCTTTATCATGTGCTTGGAGATCAAACTAGGCCAGGCTTGGCAGCAAGCCCCTTTATTTACTCTTTAAGCTTTCTCATCAGCTCCTCCTGAATACTTTTCTTTTTGAAACAGTGGGCACTTCTGACCTCAAATTCCTAATCACGTTGTCTACATCTTTGAAGTCCTTGAGCATATCAGCAGTCCACAATCTTTTCCCTTAATTTTAGAAAACACTCGGGCTCCCACATGGTCTATGAATGTGTGGTTGTAAATTTTGATCATTTTAACAAGTCATTTGCCTTTGAGCTTTCTGTCATGCTATTAGTTTACATTTCTGGTTTGCTTTTGAGAGAAATGGCTATGGAGTTATTTTATTGTTATTTTATAATACATTTGGGTACTTCACTTTGACCATTTAAGACAGTCTTAATTGACCTAATTTCTGCTTAGTTGGATTATTAAAAAATTATTGTAACATCCCTAGGGCTTCTGCTCTCTAAGTTACAGGAAAGTTATTGCTGTATTTGCTGAAAACAACTGTATTAGTGTTTTTGGTGCAACTTACAGTTCACTAATAAAACAGTGAAGATGACCCTGAATTGGTGCCTTGAGACACTGTGACAAGTGGTGTGACACTAATTCCCAATCATTGCAGAACCTGTTATTTGAGGTTTATATGTCCAGTGTTTTTTTTTAAAGGCTTCTAGGACACCTTAGATTTGCAAAATCCCTTTGCATTCTCATTTGTTTACATAGCTGCCCTTTGAAATCAATTCATAGCTTGTCCTGTTCTACTGATAAAATTGATGAAAACTTTTAGTTGTCATTTGTTGCTAAGTGTTCCCTGTGTGTAAAACCTTTTCTGCCCTCAGATTATACTTACTAGTGTCTGGACTAGGGTGATTTTATGCTCACTGTCACCTTCTATGGTGATTCTAAAGAGCCCTGAGTGGTGTTTTTCCCTTTTTGCTACATAGTTATTTTCCATATAAAAATTAGAGTGACCTAGTTAAGGTTTGGCACAGCTCATATACTGTAAGGAGTTAGGTTTTTCTTGCTGCTGGTCTGGTCTTGTCCTGCCACCTTGCCAGCCCCAAATAACGCACAGAGACTCTGTATTAGATATAATGCTGTTGGCCAGTTACTTGTTTCTTATCAGCTAGCTCTGTCTTAATTATTAACCCATTTCTGTTAATCTAAGTATTTCCACATGGTTTCATCTTACCGGAGAAATGGCTGGCGTCCTGCTCTCTCCAGACTCTCCATCTTGACT